GCCCCAAAGAAGCGCCAATCAGCTGGAAAGCAGCACTGATCCCGGTGCTTGCACTCACACACACACAAACACATGCGCAGGTCTGGGAGAGGTGAGCTGAGCCAAGCCACGCAGAGGCAATGACAGGGGGGAGGGGAAGCCTTTGCTCACCACTCCTGCCTGTTGCCACCTCTTCCCGGAGCCTCTGGCAGTTTAAAAAAAAAAGCAGGAGAGGGAGGGACAGTGGAAGGAAGGAAGGAAGGAAGGAAGGAAGGAAGGAAGGAAGGAAGGAAGGAAGGAAGGAAGGAAGGAAGGAAGGAAGGAAGGAAGGAAGGTCAGGGAAGGAGGGAGGAAACTTGGATATAAAAGGAGGGGAGAGAAATTTGTTAAATGAGCTTTGCCCCATTTTATGACTTTTCTTGCCACAGTTGTTAAGTGAATCACTGCAGTTGTAAAATTAATAACATAGTGGTTAAATGAATCTGGTTTCCCCACTAACATTGCTTGTCAGAAGGTTGCAAAAGGTGATCGATTGCCAAGCATCCAAATGTAAATCACATGATCCTGGGGATGCTGCAACAGTCATAAGTGTGAAAAATGGTCATAAGTCACTTTTTTCAGTGCCGTTATAACTTTGAACAGCTGCTAAGCAAACTGTTGTAAGTCAAGGACTACCTGTACTTTATCACTTTTTTCTGGTTTTTTTGGGGGGGGGATCAAGTTTTTGACACTTTGCTAGGTGACTGGTGGTACTCGGATATTGCCATATCCTAAAATTGGTACAATCGGTGAAAAGGTTGAAAAGCCCTGTGGTAGAGTTTTCTACCAAATCCCTGGAAAGGTGGTAAAATTAGCAGCAACTCAACAAACAATCACCTTGTTTAGCAACCGAAGTTCTAGCCCCAATTATGATCGTAAGTCAAGGACTACCAGTAGTATATTCCTTCTCAACCAGATCATGCAAGAGAAGCAATCCATTGGAAACTCTTTTTTATTGTCTTCAGCATAGTTGCTACTTCTAACTGGAATCGCTACTAGGATCTCCTATCTTAGAGGGCATATTTACACATCTGAATGCTCACATCTGCAGTGGTTCCACTTCACCAGGCTTAAAACAGGTGTACTTTTTCTCCAGAGCGTTCCTGAAAAATTACTGAATTGTAATTTTAATGCAACAGATGGGAAAAATTATTAAATATGTATGAAACAAACATGTTAGCTTATTTAATTAAATTGTGTGAACTATACTTAAAAATTAATGTTATGACTGACTGACTGACTGACTGACTCCCTTCCTTTTTGGAATTCAGCTTCCTTTGGTATGTCAGCCAGTGGCCAATTATGACCTTTGGTTCCAAATAGACTGCATGTACCTAACGGAAAACAATTTTGACAAATGCTGTGACTTCAGTATTCTTTCTTATGAAACATACTGTCCATTTATGAATAGCTGATGTATGGCATCCCATTCAAGTTTCTGGCAGAGTCATTGCTATATCTGTAAGGCAAAGAAGAATAGTTTCCTAAGAATTAGATTCCCTGCTGTCAATTTCCTGTGGACATTTTCTTACTTAAAAGCAGAACCTCCATGTCTCCTGTTGGCCTTTTTCCTGTCATTCAAAACATGGCCTGGACATATTTTAGCTTTATTTGTTTTTTTTCTCTTTAATAGCAACCTTTGGATATATATTTTTATTATGGTGAAACACAAACAACTGAAAAAAGATACAGTAGTTGTTAAGTGATGAAAAAAGAACCTACAAACATTATAGTGACCCATATAGTGAAACTATATGTAAAGAACAAGCAGTCAAGAAATAGGCTGCAGTGAATTCAAGGGGTGTCTCTCCAAAGTGTTTTCTCATTATTCCCCATTTGTCTAGGCTTCTGCAGTGTTTATCTTCTTCTTCCCCTCCTGTCAAAGGGCTTCCTCATTACTCTGTACTACAGCTTGTAAGCAGTGGTGGGATTTAAATATGTGAACAACCGGTTCTCTGTATGGATGCCGCTTCCGGAAGTCCATTCTGGGCCTTGGCAACAAAAAATTAGCTACCGGTTCTGCAGAACTGGTGCAAACTGGCTGAATTCCACCACTGCTTCTAAGTTTAACTACAGGTAATCTTCGACTGACAACCATTTCTGTCGCTAAGTGAAACATTTCTTAAGTGAGTCTTGCCCCATTTTACAACTTTTCTTGCTACATTTGTTAAGTGAATCACTGCAGTTGTTAGGTTAGTAACATGGTTATTAAGTGAATCTGGCTTCCCCATCGAAAAAGGTAATCACATGACCCCAGGATGCTGCAACCGTCATAAATATGAGTCAGTTGCCAAGCGTCTGAATTTTGATCATGTGACCATGGGGGTGCTCTAAAGGTCGTAAATGTGAAAAGTCATGTTTCTAAATGCTGTTGTAACTTTGAACGGTCAATAAAGAACTGTTGTAAGTTGAGGACTACCTGTATTATATTTCTTTCCTATATATATATATATATATATAATTGAAAGCACAACAAAGCTTTATCTGAACAAGATCAAATGTCTCTCCCCAGAAAATAACTGAATCAAAATATAAATGAGACCAATGAAAGCTTATTGTCAAACCCAACAGGCCATGAAGTAGCCATTCTCTTTATATGCAGTCCTGTACCACAGAGTATTGCAGAGTGTTCAGAGTCTTCAGAATTAATGCAGGCTTAAAAATGTATGAAAACAAGCAAGCAAAAGCAAACATTTCCCATCTGGGGAAAGGCGGATTGGTAACTTTACCTTGTTTCCCATTTCTAAGAACATATTGGCTAAATGAGTTCTCCCAGGTTGGGATTATGGAGTGCGTAGCCTCAATAATCAGCACGAGAAAGGGAAATAACCCATTTGTGTTTGTTTGTTCCTGAGCTACTACAGGAGAAATAGTTGCTATTTACTAATGGAGTACAATCTAGTGCTTGTGCTGTTCTAAATTTCATTCTACACAGTCATTAAACAAACAACAAATGCACAATCTTGGGGAATATATTACATTTTCCCTGGTATCGAATGTCATACTGTTGAAAGTGTAAATCTCTCCATTAGAAAAGAGCAACCTATATGTTAATATTCTATAATAAGAAAAATATGTCATACCAAAATAGATTGTATCAAAGGGTTCTTAGACCCCCTTTTCTCCCAGCAATGTTTAAATCAGAGGGTTGGGATTCTGTTACTCATCATAATTCTCAAAGCTCTATAGAAGATGTAGTTTAAAGCACTTTAAATGCATTTTATGCATCTCCTTCGCCACAAAGTGGGTTCATCACTATAATGGAGAACTGACATTTTTTTTTCAAAGCATCTCAATCTTTTGAACTCAGAATTCAGAGATTCGGGTCTTCATTTCAAGGACTTACTAAAACCAAAGAGCTCTCCCTAGATACACAGAGTCACGGCTTGGTGCCCCCTTTAAAAACTAAACTGAAACATTTCTTTGATTTAAAAAAGATGCGAGCTTTAAAAGCCTCTGAGATTCTTCTCATGCTCTTAAAAAGTGCAAATCAGAGAATAATTTTCAGTTAATGTACTCACTTTCCAATAACGTCTCCCCACTCGGTTCCCTAGGGCCTTTACTTTCAGATTTTGAAGATATTGAATCTCATTTCAAAATAACAACAACAACAACAACAACAATAATGTTTAATGGAAGATCTAGATGCAGATTTGCTTATCCCAGGTCCTTAGTAAGGACTCAATAGGTAGACTCAGATGCTACCTTATATATATACTTTATGTATGCTTGTATACCTTATATCAGCTCATAGGTCCTTTGTTAGGACTTGAACTTTTAAGTTTTATCAGTCCCAGACTGTGAATCGAATTAAAGATGTAGTAATACTAATAATAATAATTCAACTCAACAAAAGGGTGCATTTGATGTGCTTCAGCAGATGTAACATTAAGTAGTATGGAGCCTGATTAGTATTGAATTGTAATCTGCCCAGAATCTTTTGGAATTAGGCAGTCTCAAAACAGAATAAATAAATAAATAGTTCTTGGAGGAAGAAACCATTAGGGAATACCACAAATGTTGGCTAGGCTTGGTAGTAAACAACATCAACAACAATCGTATCCTGGAAGAGAATAAAGGTAAATTAATGGTATGATGCAAGAACATTGCATCATATCCAGGATCATCACTATCTGATCTCAAGGCCGTCACTGTTTTTTATATCTTACAATCCCTTAATTATTCTCCAGATTTAATTGACATCAGGATCTTCTGTAATTATTCATGTGCAGATGGTCAGATTAACGTAACATGTACTTTAATCATCACATGGGCACAGAAAGTAAGCTGAGCTATTTCGGACTTCATAAAATTAGTTGTCTTTCTTTCTCAGCTAGTTTGATTTGGAAAATTCGGTTTGGGTCAAAAAAAATTTGAAAAATTACCTGTTCAAGCCTATGATGTATTGAATCGTAGTTGTCATTATTTATTGTATTATTTTTAGTTTCATTTATATACCATCTTTTTTTCTGGGAGTTTTAAAGAGGCAGTTTGGTCTAGTGGTGGAGGCACCAGGTTAAAAACCGGGAGACGGTGAGTTCCAGTCCTGTCTTAGGCATGAAGGGTGGCTGGGTGACTATGATCCAGTCCTTCTCTCTCAGCTCAATCAAGGTTAGACGGTTGTTGTGAGGAAAATAGGAGGGGGAAGGAGTGTTAGATATGTTCACTGCCTTGAGTTATTTATAAAAATAATAAAGGGGGGGGATATAAATAAATGAACAAAAAAACTTAAAAGCAGTGGGTTGGGGAAGTACATGATCCAAAGTCATCCAGGGAGTTTCTGACATGGAAAGTGGGCTTGAACTTGGGTTTTCCCACTCCTAGTTTGACACTTGGATTTTGATACTTGGATTTTGATGGGCTCACTGTTTCTGTGTGTGCTTGGAATCATTCTGATAAGAGCCTAAATTATTATTTAAAAGCATATGTTTACAACATAGGTGCATTTCTGAAAGACTAAATGTAAGTTTTTTCTTCCCCAGGTTGAAGCAATTTTAGTAAACATATTTGGTGGAATTGTCAATTGTGCCATTATTGCCAACGGTATCACCAAAGCTTGCCGAGAGCTTGAACTGAAAGTGCCTCTCGTGGTCCGACTTGAAGGTAGGTGGTGGAATTCAAGCTTTGTTGGGTATCTTTATTTCATTTGATCAATTCTCCGAGGGTTGATGTTGGAACTAATTTTCTAGAACATAAAATATCAGAGTTGGAAGGGACCTTGGAGGTTTTCTAGTCCAACCCCCTGCTCAAGCAGGAGACCATTTCAGTTCATGTGAAACGAGAATGAGATGGTTGCTTCAGGGCAACAAATGCTGGAGGACGTGAAACAGAGAGCAGCCCATTTGCCATTCTTATTGGTTGAAGGAGACTCAGACTCAACATTCTAGGTTGGCTGGACTTCAGCTAATACCTCAGAAATAGTAAAAAATGCTGCCTGTCACTTGTCTCGAATCCCCATTCAGCTAGAAATGGTATGGACAAAACATGGAATTTGCTATATTCTTTTTCTTTGACGGAAAACTGTGTTAAATCAACCTTGCTAAACATGCCAATGTTTCAGTCACCCACATAGGATTCACTGTTGCAACATTTCAGCTCATTCATACTTTCTCATAGTTTTAAGGCTGCTTTCTCCAACCTGATACCCTTCAGGTATATTAGGATTGCATATCCTAGAACTCTTGCCTGTGGCCATCTGGAGGCTACCAAGTCAGCTTCATTTCACAGTATCCTGGAATTCTCATCTATGAATTATTGTTAATTTTTATCTCAAATCATGCGAGATTTATTTAATTGAGAGACAAGTCTGGAAAACCAGAGATTATAGTATGGGGAACCAGACATTATAGAAATGGTGTGGGCTTTTTACAAGGAAGAGTAGAATCATCATCAATACTATCTTGGCTAATGTTTATGAAGTTTGTTATCAGGGGCTGCATCTTTGATTCTAGAGCAAAATGTCAAATCAATAAAGGTCATTTCCATAAGGATTATGTTGTAACAACCACAAGATTTGATTCGGAGATCAGACCTGCTACTTTGCAGATGGTCTGATTCCCTTTGGGTCTAGAACCAGGTGGGATTAAAGCATCCTTTCTTAAAGCAACCATCGTTTCCTTTAAAGCAACCATCCATCTGAAGACTACCAAGTTATGGTAGGATGCTTTACTCTCACCAGGCTCTAAGTCCAGAAGGTGTCAGATTGTCTGCAAAGTAACAGGTCTGATCTCTGAATCAGATATTGTGATTATTACAACACAGTTCTCATGGGAATGGTCTTTATTATTTTGACATATTACTCTAGAACAGAGGTCTTCAAACTTGGCCCTTTTATGAATTGTGGACTTCAACTCCCAGAATTCCTCAGCCAGCATGCCTGGCTGAGGAATTCTGGGAGTTGAAGTCCACAAGTCATAAAAAGGCCAAGTTTGAAGACCCCTGCTCTAGAATCTAGGATGCAGCCTTGCCAACAAACTTCATAACATTAGCCGAGATAGTACTGATGATGATTCTAATCTTCCTTATAAAAAGTTCACACTATTTCTCTAATCTCTGGTTTTCCATACTTGTCTCTTAATTAAATAAATCTCACATGATTTGAGATAAAAATTAACAATAATTCATAATGATGAAAAGTCCAGGATACTGTAAAATGAAGCTGAAAGAATACAGGATGGAGCAATCCGTTCCCTTTGATGCATTTCTACGACAGAAGGTTCATAATTATTCCTATAAATCTTTAGCAGATTTGTGGCTGGACTTTAAAAAATTCTTTGCTGACCTGCAGCAGTCTGTTGCAGATGTCTTAATGAGTAAAGTTTTAATCAGTCAACTCTGTCTTGATTTAGCATGATTTTCTGGACAAATCTTTGTTCTAAGCTGTGTAATGATTACAAGCTGTTTTACCGGTGGATAAAGGAAGGATTAGTCTCTCGTTCAAAAATAGTAACTTTATACTTACAGGTATTTACTTATTTGATATAAAAGAAAGAATGAGTAATCCTCGGCTGAGAAGTACTTTTTTTTTTAAAAGGGCCCAAAGCAATTAGAAGAATCATGTAATCTGCATTTCACTGATGAAGTAATTGTTCCTGACGGGCAAGTGCACCTCCTCTGTTTCAAAAGATTTTTATAACTAATTGTTGAAAGGGCTGGATTAAAATTAGGTAATTACTGCCCGTACAACCTATAGGAAGATTTTCTTAGATTACAGACTTACACAAGGAGATTGACCTATCTCTCGTATCTCCCGCTGCCTCAAGAGCTACATAATAGGAATTTACATCCATCATATATTTATACATGCATTGGTGACCTCCTTTTGAATGGAGCAGGTAGCTTTGTGAATGCCATAAATGCAGGCCAAAATATGACCACGGGAAGCATCACTGGGGAGGAAGGCCTACCAGTACCTTTGGGGTTCATTGTCACTTAGAGTGGCCACTAAGCAGCTGATCATAAGTTGAGGACTTCTGTAATATTAACCAAAGGGGCAGGGCCAAGATTTTTTACCTATTTGGAAAGCTAGTTTGGCCTAGCCTCTCAATAGAGTCACTTTATGATAGAGGTGGTGGGTGCAGTAACAGGAAAGGCGCCATCTTTGCTTCGCCCCACTCGAGCCTGTTTTTTTTTAACCTATGTTTAATCCTCTGTCATTTTAATTGTTCTTATAATTGTTTTTACATTTCTATTTTTTATTACATTGTAAGCCACCTAGAATTGCTTCAGACAGTGAGATGGTGGTGTATACATTTAATAAATAAATAATTAAAAAGTAGTTTGGAAAGTAATAGAATATAATATGCTGAGGGGTATGTTTTAAATAATAAAGATGTAGATCAGGACCAGGAAACAAATATAGGTAGTCCTCAACCTACGACCACAATTGAGCCCAAAATTTATGTTGCTAAGCAGGACATTTGTGAAGTGAATTTTGCCCAATTTTACAACTTTTCTTGCCATAGTTGTTAAGTGAACCACTGCAGTTGTTAAGTTAGTAACTTGTTAAGTGAATCTGGCTTCCCCATTGACTTTGCTTGTCAGAAAGTTGCAAAAGGGGATCACAGGATCTACGGACACTGCAACCATCATAAATATGAGTCAGTTGCCAAGTGTTTGAATTTTGATCATGTGACCATGGGGATGCTGCAACGGTCATAAGTATGAAAAACGGTCATAAGTGATAAGTTGTAAGTAGGTTTGAATGGTCACTAAACAAACTGTTGTAAGTCGAGGACTACCGGTATCTGATTTAATAAATGAGAAAGTCAAAGAGCTATGCACCGTATTAGGATTTCCATACACAGATACAAACCCACTGCAAGTATCTCTTTCTTTAGGTATTTTGATTGATGGATAGAGGAGAATCTGAAGAGGCCACGTGGCACTATAAGATTGCACTAGTGCAGGGGTCTTCAAACTTGGCCCTTTTATGACTTGTGGACTTCAACTCCCAGAATTCCTCAGCCAGGCATGCTGGCTGAGGAATTCTGGGAGTTGAAGTCCACAAATCATAAAAGGTCCAAGTCTGAAGACCCCTGCACTAGTCCATCTCCATTGCAGCTCTCATGTATTGGTTTAACATACTGCAAATAATGCCACAAAATAATTAAAAAGTGGTTTGAAGAAAACAGGTCCAGTCAACTACATTATGACTTAATGCGGAACATAAACTCAGCCGATTACAAATATGTTTTCTTTATTCTTGCAAATATTACATGCACTCCTGGTTTCTAACAATAATAAGAAAACCAAATTCTGCGCTTTTTTTTTTCATTCTTCCAATGATCTGAATAGGTTTGGAATCCAGCTGTGGCACAGTTAGTAAAATGGTTGGTCTGATTACCCCGTGTATTACAGTTCACGTTTAAGGGAAATCTTGATTATAGAGAGAAACCATGCAAATTTCTCTTCCACTTTTTTTTCTCTGTTTAATAGCTTCATTCAGTGCAAGCACAGTGTAGATTGTTTTGATTGCCTGGGACTGAAACTCTGTTTACAGATCTCTAACACCATCCAGTGGCAGTAGGTTAATGTTGGTTTACTTCAGTAAAAGAAAAGTTCTGTGTTTTTAAACCATAGTCAGGAAGGAAAAAAAAAAACCTTAACTCTTATTTTTTTAGACTTCCTCTGTTAAATATGTTGCAACCTTTTTAAAGATTTCTGGCACTTCAAATATCAAAGGAAGCTCAGTTTATTCAAACTGATCACGGATTCCAAACAATCACGGATTCCAAACAATGACCCTTTGCAAAACATTTTTAAAAAAATACTGAGCATTTTTATGGCTTTAACATTATGCTTTAACAAATGCAAATGCATATAATATTTTTGTTTCCTTACATTTCAGAAATAATATTTAATTTTTATTTATTTATAAAGCTGAGTGCAGCTGATATTATTGAACCACTCATTCTTGTTTATGACGTTCATGAAAATGCAATGAGGTCAATCTTTTTTCTCTCTCTCTCACTTTTGCGTAGGATTTTTTCCATTCTATGCAATGAATTTTATTTACCTTTATGCCTTCGAAGAACATTTTTTGCAGAAATAACTGATAACTATTATGAAAGTATTTCTTATAATAAGAAAATTAGTAATAAAAATAGATTGGATAAAAACTACAACTCTACAAACGTGTCTTGGTCTTTTCACCATTTTTGAATGGCACTATAGAAATCTACAAGCAACTATAAGTAGTTTGGATCTCAATTCTAGATTGCTGTAGTAGATCCCTTTGTAACACCTTTATAAATATTGTGTCTATCTATGAATATGTTCTTCAAACACTTTTTTTAAACTCAGAACACTAATAATGGTTTCCTTCCTTCCTGCCTGCCTGCCTGCCTACCTACCTACCTACCTACCGACCGACAGTTGCCAAAGCAACAAATAGTTCTGTGGGTTGCAGATGATTTTTTTTTCTCATTTCCAGTATTTCCTATGGATATTTTATTGTCAGCTGCCCAGAGTTGCTTTGCATAGTGAAGTGGGTGGCATATAAATTTAATTTAAATAAATAATTAAACATTGATAAGGTTTTGATACAGGCGATATCAAAAACAGGAGAAAGAGAAGACTCTCTTTTGACATTTACAGAGAGCTTGACACATCCTCCAAACTAAAACAATCTTGATGCCCGTTGGAAATTTTAACCAGCTCAGCATATTGCCTTTTTAATAAATTGCCTGTGAAACAATCCAGACTATATTTGATCAACACATTCTTTGAAAATGACCTGGGATATTGATGAGAGCACACAATCGTTTTTAGAACGAGTAACGTACTAGTATCTGCATTTAGTATGATCTCCAATTAAAAAAGCTGAAGCAGCACAAATATTGAGATAAGATTCATTATTTTCTAGTGGCAAAGGAAAAGGGAATTAGGTCAAAATTATGTTTGCCTTTGAGAAGGTGCCTTGAGCCTCTAGTATGTGTATAAATGTAGAACAGTAATGATTAGCACTAAGGGAGCACTAGAGTTTGTTAGTTTGTTGTTTGTTTTGGGAACTACTGTCAGTACAAATAGTCCAGTTCTCCAACTAAGTAATTAACCATATATTTTCCATACTGTGCATATGTACTTTGAGCACACTCATACCCACACAGAGGGAGGGAAGGAGGGAGACAGAGAGAGAGAGAGATCACTCCTAGAATGCCAGTTCATCATACCAAAGTTAATATCTTAAAAAACTAATATTGGAAAAAACATAATAAACATGAGGGTGAAGGTTTGTATCCATAATAAGCATCATCATCCTTAACTTTTATACCAACAAAATAATGATCCCTCTTTACTGGACATTGTTTCTTGACCGTTAGTCCCACTCCAATGTCTTTGCCAATGTTCTCTCACCTTTTTTGTGAGCTTAGGAGGTGCATAGAGTTGCAAAAGTGTTCAATGCCATAGAAAGTGGCACAAATACAGTGGAATTGTTTGGAAAAGAAGCAGAAGCCCAACTTATCCTGGGGTAGAAGTAGACGATAAACTACAGTTCTAGTACAAGTTAATTTCAGTGGTATTGTTGCTTATAGTTTGATATTTCATACACACTGCTGAGCCCACTTTTTAATACTCATATACTTACAATTGAGATAGATTGCACATGCTGCTGGAATTGTGAAATTGTGGATTATTGAATTTTAACATTAAGAATCAATGTTCTTCCAAAAATGCAGTACAAAGAAAAGATCTTGCAAGACTTTTTCTTATCACATAATTAATACACCTTAGTGTATTAGTGTAATACACCTTTCTAGATAGCAATAACATGATCCTTTTTATGACATTTTATAAATGTCATGTAACCACTCTAAGGAAGGGAGTTGTATCCGCCTCCCCCTGAAAGCATCTCGTATCTCATCCACTTTCCTGGGGAAAAAGAAGAGAATTCAAGAGGTGTCTTTCTTAGCACCCACAAAGTTTTTCTCCTTATGATTCTTTGGGTTTAAAAATATCTTTCAAAACAGTTTTATCTGAATAAGTTTCAGAACTCTGAGAAACTATGTATTATATCAGTATGTTTGAAGCTTTGTTAAAACAATATTTTCTCCTATTAAACAAGCAAGCTAATAACTAAAATATTTACATTCATAGAGAAAAGTAGCATGTATATGCAGAGAGATAAGAGAGAGATGGATGGATGAATGGAGAGACAGACAGACTTAAAATTAATTCAGTGACAAAACTGACTGATGCCTTAAAGCAAAGCATTTCTTTGCTTATTTCTTTTGCATCACAGTTCAGAGATTTAAAAAATATATAGTAAAATGACGATCATAACTATTGAACATCTACAGTGGATATATGTTGCTCATCAAAACTCGAGTGCTAAAAGAGACCAGCGGGGATTGAAAGTTCAATCTTAAGGCCTAAAAACAATTATTGGAAATGAAATCAGGAGTTAAAGTCAGTGTAATATTCTGGTTGAGAGACTGAGCTGTGAATCAGGAAGATTGTTCAAGTCCTGCCAGTACGGCAGAATTACAAGTTAGCTTCCTCTTTCTTTTTCCCAGTTGTGCACACCAAACATGCACACTGACACACTCCTTTCCAGGGATATGAAGATAATAGCAACCTGTTTTTAAGATTGCTGCAGGAATACTGACCAAACAGACTATTCACAAAACACTATGCAAGATAACAAATACCTTCTACTAGGTAAAACTTAGCTCTATTAATCATGCTTCATGGACGGCCTTTTAATTAGAATTACAATTTCTCAAATGCATTTGCTGCTTGTTCTAATTCCAAGTTACCTGCCATTTTGATTTATAAGTAGAAACATTTTTTACCTGTCGGGCAGGACAGAAGATCTGGCTGATTGTGTTAAACATTTTAGCACTTCAGGAGGACAGGATGTGACTGTTGTCCCTTTTCCTGTCAAAATCATAATACATGTGTGAATATTTCACTCAGGGGATGAGATTTCTACCCTGGGAGCAGTTTTTTAATAGTATTGTGGATCCTCCTTATTGGCATTCATTGTTCATGGTTAAACCTGCCAGAGCATAGTGACAGCCATTGGTTATGCACATTATACTTTCTGCTACCAAGGGAAAGATGCCATTAGTGTCACGAAGTGCCCAATCAGCATCAAAACAGAGGGGAGAGGGGGAGAGAGAGAGACTTCTGGAGAGGAACTAAATTTGTGTGAGCATTTCTGTCAGAACATTTCAACTGGGCCTGTCTTTTTTCAGCGTTAATGAACAAAGAGCTACAGGATGTGAGCAGTGATCAGTCATTTTTTTCTTAATTAATCTCCTCTCGTTTGGCCATGCATGTGCCTTGTATAGGAGGAGCCTGACAGAGCGTAGCACCCACATCCCTGAAACGTCTCTCTTAATTTATGACTTCTTCCTTTCTCCCTTTCTTTCTTTGCAGGCGACAAGTCTTAGGTTGACTGAACTTGATGGCTCTGTCCACTTCTAGATCTCTGACGGTTCAGTCCTATGCATATTTATTCAGAACAAAACCCCTCTTTGTTTAAAGACAAAAAAAAGAGGCTTGCAGTCAGGTAAACATGCATAAGGCTGTAACGTAAAACTTAAAAAAACTTGTAACTTTTTTTCCCTTCCTAAGGGAAATATATTACCCTACAACAGAATTTACAGTCTGTGTAATCTCTTGCTTGGCCAATTCAGAAGATACGTTGGGTGAACTTCTTGCACAGGGTTGAAGCATATACTGGACATACCAGAGAATGCTGGAGTAAAAGAAATGGAGTAGTAGTGAATCACAGTGTTGGCTTGTGTGGTTTTACTCTGTGAAAGGTCCTTCTCAGCATCAGGCCCGGCAGTAGAGAGAGACTAAGATATCTGCTTCTGACAACAAGTGCTCAGAGTAACTGCAGCAGCCCCTTTCTGTTCTTCTCAGTTCTTCTCTTGAACTGTGTGTGCAGCACAGCCTATTCTTCAGCTTTTAAAGTAGCTGCATCCTGTCAGATTTGGAGAAGCGTCCCATCACCAGTGCTGACCTGACAATTAAATGTTTACTCCTGCATGTGGAATTGTAACAAAGGAGTATCATCTTGTTGGTTCATTTCCTGGCAGTAAATGTTTCTGAGGACAGCCCTGACTTTTCCCAACCTTATTTAGAGATGCAGAGCCTTCTGCATGGAAAGCAAATGTTCTGTGATAGAGGAACCACCCACGCTTTGCGCACAGTCACTCAAGCTCTCGTCACCTCCCGCCTGGACTACTGTAATGCTCTCTACATGGGGCTCCCTTTGAGGAGCNGCGGGCCTGACCTAGGGAGGATTTTACTTAGGGATGATTTTAAGAATAATTTTAATAGGAATAACAGCTTCTAATATTTGGTTTTTAATTTGGTTTTATAGGGGTTTATATTTTTTGTATTTTGTATTTGTACTTGTTTTAATATGCTGTGCACCGCCCTGAGTCCTGCGGGAGAAGGGCGGTATATAAATTAAATTAATAAATAAATAAATAAATAATAATAAATAAATAAATCTCTAGTAGTAGACCTAGCAGAGATTTTTGCCTTTGAGAACAGATAATCGGATAGGTGTAAGACCTCTGTTTATATTCATGTCGTAAGAACACACCAGAGTCTGTACGTTTTTTATGCAATATATATTTTGATTTAGTTTTCTGGTGTTAGCTTTCTTTTTTATTCTGATAAATGGACACAAAAATAAATCATGGTAGGCTATTTATAATCTCCACCAGAGTAATTTGTATTATAGGGGGGGGGGAAATCTTGATCTATATCTTACGTCTTTGCTAATATTCCTTGTCGGATCCTGTGCTGTGTAATTTATTCTTTTGAAACATTTCATGAAGAGCTATTTATCTATTAATATACAGTTGAAGTAAGTTAAATTACTCAGTATTAAGTTAGCCAAATGGTTGTCATTGACTTCTTCTGTCTTCTGGATCCATAGGAGATCAATACTGTTATTTTACAGTAGTTATCCTATAACTAGCAGATTCAGTTTGATTCAGTTACCTATTTAGATTCAGTGTAAAATTTAAACATAGGAGGAGGCATTACAAAGAAAAAGCTGGACGTGTACTTTAATGGCATAGAGTCAAAATCCAAAAGACCTATAAGTTTCATACAACTAGAAATAGTTTTAATATTTCTATGTCTTTTTTTCATGGGCCCACCATATGAAATGTGCTTGATCTTTATTGTACCTTCAAGTTCCTCTTATGGCTTTCAAAAACTAGAAGTGAGGGGTCCTTGGTGCTCTCTGAGTTTGGTTGTTTCTTGCAGACATTTCATTACCCAAACTAGGTAACATCATCATCAGCAACAACCCAGTTTGGGTAATGAAACGTGTGCAAGAAAACAACTAAGCTCAGAGAGCACCAAGGGCCCCTCATTTCAACCCTGAGCTACAAATATTCTCCTTTATTAACAACTAGAAGGAAATAGGAATTGACTTTTTTTTTCTCCTCTTTCCCCTCAGGAACAAATGTTCACGAAGCCCAGCGCATTCTGAATGAAAGTGGACTTCCCATTACTTCTGCAAGTGACCTTGAAGATGCTGCTAAGAAAGCAGTGGCTTGTGTGACAAAGAAATAAAGAGAACTGACACGAGAGATGACATTCCAGAACTGCCATTGAAGACATATTGAGAATGATTTTAACCAGCCACAAGCACCGAGATTTGGCTTAAGTGACCTGTTAATCACAAAATATTCAGTGGGTGAAAAGAAAACTTGGAAATGCATTTATTACACAGAAGCCTTTATTTTTCAATATTGGGACTGAATGTTCTACAAGCAAATACGATGAGTAACTTACTGTCAGTTGCCATTTAGGTTTCTCTTTTTAGGTGTTAATTGCTTGTGACTGCCAATTTTTCTAAGATACTTTGATGCATCTTTAGTATGAAAAGGGATATTTGATCATGGTTGGCCCTTTGTTGGGGATTGTTCTCAAGCTCTAAGGAACTACTAGGGTGATATCAAAGTTTAGAAGTCTTTTCCATATCATGTGGAGAACTTTCAAAATTTGGGATATGATATGGCTTGGGAATCTGCTATTTGAAATAGAAACAATCATAAAGTGTAATTCAGGCACGCCAGAAACCTCCAGTGTACCTACAGTAGCTCTCTGAATTCCAAATCATATTTAATAACATTTTCCAATTAGGGAAAGAGCATCTTTATATTACCTAAGTTGAAATAAATGAATGTAATTAGATATCTACCACCACGTCAAAATTATAAAATGCAATGATTGATACTCAATGTATACCTCACATTATAACAACGTTAAGAATCATAGTTCTGTGAAATAATCATTTTTATATTGTCCTATAAATTCTCATTTGAATTCTTTAAGTACTGAAGGAGAAATACACATTGTAATGTCACCTTTGACAGGATCTGTGGACATATGCATCCAATTAATGTTGACTGTCTTTAGAAATCAATATGTATTGTAGCTAAAAATAGTCTATCTTGAAGAAATCTAGGGTGGTAGTTCCTTAAAGCATTTGCACTGTTTTTGTAATGTTATTAATCAGAATTGATAATAGTCAAAGCTATCAGGGAACCTGCTGTCATCAGAAAGAATATGAAAAATAAATTGAGGAATGATCCCATCTTTTTATATTCTGTGAATTTCAGTGCAAATGTTCACCAACTGCAATGTTCTTCATACTGAAGTAAAGTGGATTTCCAAATGCTTAACTTTTGCTTGATTGTGCCTTTGATGTTTAGGAAATATGTATTCATAAAGTACAAAGGCTATCAAATTAATTCAATAACCACATTCATATGTTTATTTAACAATGGAGTTTTGAAATTCAAGATACTTGTTGAAATCAGAAGTAGGGTTATAAACAATGTTATTCAACTGACAAGCTGCGAATTGATGTGATTTTTAATAGCAAAGAATATGAATATTTTTGGTTTACTGCAATTAAACACTATTAATAAATTTCCCTGGGGTTATACATTTGAATTGTGCTGATTAACGCTGTCATTATTTTTCCATGGTCACTAATGGCTATCGACAAAAGCCATTTTTTGAGAATTATTTTAGAAGTCCCATGAACATAGTCATTCCATTAACTGTTAAGTAAATAAAAATATTCGTGCCATACACAATATTCTTCCTATCATAAAAATCCTATAAAAGCAGGCATGGACAGCTTATAAGGTGTTTACAGGATTACTAAAATGTTTGTGAACTCTTTTGAATTTTCAATATTTCTGCATAAATATGATCTAAAACATGATATATTCTCCACACAAGTCGTAAAACTGGATTTATGAGAATCCAATTAAACAAATAAGTTGAAAACATTATACTTTTTACCTATTTAAATTTATTCTTCACCATATCTGTGTTCCTCACTCCCTTGGCCACCCAAGAAGTATGGCAAAGAGAGAAAGCCTAAAATATGTGTTATTTCTATGACAATATATCTTGTGAGGAGGTGATGGATGGTGGTTCAAAATTTATCTTGGAATGGACATGACTGGATCTGGGTTCCCCCATTGACTTTGCTTGTCAGAAGGTCTCAAAAGGTGATCACATGGTCCGGGGACATTGCAACCATCATAAGTATGAGTCAGTTGCTAAGCGACTGAACTTTGATCACATGACCCTAGGGATACTGCAATGGGTGTGAGGGTGAAAAATGGTCATAAGTCACTTTTTTCAGTGCTGTTGTAAGTTCGAACATTCACTAAGGTGGGGAACCGATAAATACTCAGTCCTATTTCACCAGGAATGTACAGCCCCCTTTTCTTGCACTATAGCCAGTAGTGTTTTTCAATTGGCTCACACAGGTTCACAAAGCCAAATTGTTAAAATTCTGAAATTTTGTGAGCCGGTTAAGAGCAGAGTTAAGCTACTATATTTAGTGCACCCATCACCCAGCAACAATGGGGTTGGCACAGCCAGTTCTTAAGCATTTACTAACCTGCTATTGACCTTAACTCTTCATTGGCCAAGAGTTATACCCTAATATCTCCAGGTAGGGCTGGGAAAGCTTCCTGCATGCAATTTTCCAGGAACCCTCAGGGTTTGGCTTAAAATAAGATAGCTTTTCGTGTTTCTTCTGATCCCAGCCAAGGAATTCTCCTGGGACTCTAAAGGGACTTTTCTCTTATACTGGCTCAATACCCTTATCACATCTACAGGCTTAATTAAACTTTTTCTTACTCTCACTATCCAACACAATTTTACTGACAGATAGTAGGTATGCTAAATTTCTGTTGAAGTCAAGGCTAATTTGTTTGGAAAACTAATCTGGCCAGCTGTTGACGAAAATAGGTTATTCTGTGAATGAGCTGCAGCCGCTTAGGAAGATAACATGCTGAGATTTTTTTGGCAGAATACTTGACATTTCCTAAGCTGATTCTTCAGAGCGCAGGCAGAGCAGAAACAGGTCATCTCAGGGAAAGGTTGACAGTGACAAAGTGCCTGTAAACACTTCAGGGATAGGACAGCTCAAAGGGCTTTTTGCCACCTAAAATAAGCTTGTGCAGAGCTCTGTGAGTGGAGGAAGATGGGAGGCAGAGGCAGCTGTTCCATCATTGTACATCCAAGAAGTGGCTAAGCAATAAAACCTAACAACCAAAGCAGGCAATTTGACTTGGCTCATACAGGCCGTTAAGCCACCAGTGTGTGGTTGGTTTGCTTTTGGTCAGTGTGTATTTATTTAGCATTTAAGTCACTTGTATGACTGCCCAGCTCACAAAATGACAATATCTATAAAAGAAACACAACAATGCACTATAATGGCCCAAAACACAGTGTATTCAAAAATCTAAAACACTTTTCCAAACAGGTTCATCCAATATCCTAACTCAGAGCTTAGAGGGGGGGAGAACAAGTTTTAAAGTCTTATGGAAGGTCACCAGGAAGGTTGGGAGCCATCTGAATCTGGAGAAATGAGGTCCAAAGGACAGGTGCTATGATGGAGACACTGTTATGAAGAAGAAGGCACAGCTGGATTCCAGTGTTTTATGGAGGCAACTCAAGCTGAGTCTCTTGGATCTCATGAGATGGGCAGACATAATCGGAGATAATCTTGCCCTGTAACAAGATGGCGGTAACCCCTTGAATTGTGCCTAATAGCCTGTAGCAAGCAGTGCAATTCTGTAAGCCATGTTGCCAGGGTGTACTGTGGTATGCTCCTAGCTCCCCACATATTATGGGGAGAAAGAATAACTTTGAGGAACTTGAGAAAGGGCCATAACCAAAACAACAATAATATATATATATATATATATATATATATATATATATATGAGTCCAGGGCAGAAATATAATTTGTGAAAGTATCTCAGAAATGACCCCATTAGTTCTCACAAAGATAAAAGGAAGGAGAGGGGAAGGACATTTAGACTCAAAAACATTTGTTACTCTAACCTTATAATAAAAGTAATGTTAGCACTCAAAACTTTGGTTTCTTAGTCCTTTCTGCCTTGAAGGGCTGATATCAATCTTGTAAGTTGAATACTGTCTTGGCTGCAACTCTTCCTCCTGTACATCAAGATTGTTTCTTGTGGCCATTAGATCACACTGCTGAAATTCTGGATGAATTGTAGCTTCCAGATGGTCTTCATGGATAGCCTCGTATAAAGTGTGTTGCAACAGTCCAATTGCGAGGTACTCGGGGTGTGAGTCACTGAGCAATTTGCTCTGTAATTGGCACACAAAATGGAGTTGTGTAAAAGTCCTCTTGACTATGGCTGCGATTTACCCTTCAACCCAGAGCCATGAGTCTTAAGAGGACTCCCAATGGTGCATCAGTTCTGTCTGAGAGAATGTTACCTCATCCAAAGGTAAAGGCAGAAGGTTTCTGAACTGAATGGGTCCTAATGCTCACAGCTACTCAATCTTGCTTGGATTGAGCCAAATACAAAATTTTTCTGTTCTTCCACAGCCTTCTTAACGTTTCCATCAAAAGCTCCTTCTGCCTTCGTCCTTTCTACCATGCCTCAAAAGCATCTTCCCTTCCACGGATGGGATGATTTCTTGAAGATGTTTCATTTGGACTTTGTAGTAAAAATGAAACCATTCCATGGCCTACAGGGAGTGGCTAATCAAAACTGGCAAAGAGGTAGTAGAGCCCATAGCAGCCTAATGCCAACTAATGCCACAGCAGCATAGTGCACTTCTATTACTATAGCTAGGAATGCTCAGTCTTTGCCAATAAAGGGATGTGGATGGAGTCTGTATGTGCATGTAGATTTTTGCATTATTAATATTTTACAGACTAACACAGCATGGTGCTTTCTTGAAAGAGGAGGTTCTTCCCTAGGCAGTCCCCTAACTTTGAAATGCCCTCCTGAGAATAGTAAGATCAATATTTCTTCTGTGACCAAATTCTTGAGAGTTTGAAATAAGAAAAACAGGCAGGCAGAGAGTGGCTGTGCAAGAAACAGTGCATCACCATTGCCCCAAAGCAGGGGTAGGCAACCTTGACTCTTTTATGATGCGTGGACTTCAACTCCCAGAATTCCTGAGCTAGCTGTGCTGGCTCAGGAATTCTGGGAGTTGAAGTCCACGAGTCATAAAAGAGCCAAGGTTGCCTACCCCTGCCCCAAAGGGATGCAATTGTGTTTTTGTGTTCCTCACCTTGGTGTCCCCCCTCCCCCTAAACCCTTTCAGTGCACTGTAGCTTTGCATGTAATATAAATCAGTCCTTTTTCATCCTTTGGGAAGTAGAAGTTGTGCCCCGATTTGAATCTTTCTGCCTGTTCAAGCTATAAATGGAAATGAACAGAACGGATTAGTGTTCTGCCTGTCAAATGTCAATCAGTAGAACAAAATGCTTTATGCTGTAGTTACAGGATCTGACAATTAAAGCAGTTGATGAAAGCATTTTATTGAAACATACATCACCATTTCTTCCAATTATACCACCATTAAACATTAAGAATAATTGTAGGAAGTAATGCTTAATAGTAGACATCCATCTGTTCCAATAAATTCCAGCCAAAAGTTTGGGATTTTTTTTTTCTATTCCAAAGCAGTATAAATTTTAATAGAAGTCTCTAAAACCAATGGTGCGAAGTTTCTGAGTGTATCAGAACATACAAATTAGATTACCTGAGACTGGCTACAAATTACATCTTGTAAAAGGCAGCGGGGGGGCAAAAAGGTTCAGAGAACACGAAGGGCCTTTGTGGAAGGAAAGATGTGAGTTTTCCTACTTGGTGGTTTTGTGTTCCTTGAGGCTTTAAGTGTGAGTACACCTATACTGTAGAGAGAGAAAAGGGAAAAACTGAAGGCACAGGCTGTGAGTGTTAGTGGAAGGAAGAAAGGAAATTAATTTGGAGACTTGACCCAAAAAAATATGGTGTGCAGAGGAGGCAAAACCAAACATCAACAGTTTGGTGAAGTAAGCAATGACACCCTGAAGCTAACACAAGAAAAAGTAGCAGAATTAAGCAGCTTCACCTGCCTTCTAAAGAGGCTGACCAGCTACCGCCAAGTAATTGTTTCCCTCCCTCCTACAAACTGATAAGGACTGAGAAGTGGAGAAGCAATTACCAGCCTATTTCAACCTTCAGCAGAACTTTCTGAAGTCTAAAGGCGTGGAGGAGTACAGAAGGTTAAGTGTAAGTTGAAAGACCATTAACTCTGGGAAAAAAAACAGATTTCCCCATTCTTAAAGGAGAAGACAAGGAAAAAAATTGTGTGTCTCCTGCATTTATTGCTAGGAAAAGCAGGCAATCAACAAGGGGGGGGAGGGATTTGTATCCTTGTTAAGCAGTACCACTTATAAATATATCACTAGGCACAGTTAAGGAAGTTAATTATATATAATAGTGAATTAAGGTAAATATACATGTGCCGGGATGTGTATATAATAGGTTTAATGCATTAAGAGTATATCTTTTGGATAGTTAACTTATTTCTTGTAAAAAAAAAGAAAAGCTTTTGGCTTCCTGGTCTGTGGTTTGTACCAGACTTTAATTTTAACCTTGACACAGTCTTCT